TTTCTGTTTGCTTTTATAGCAATTAACTCAAAGAGGATTTCAATAAAATTTGTATATTTCTTAAATTTACAATGAATTTCTTATTTTTTTTTTTCTCCAACTTTACTGAAACGTTCTCTCTATTTAAGCGGATTTAAAGTAGCTGCAGCAGTTGATTGAGATTTTGCTCATCTTCTATGCGCCAGCACACAAACATTCGAGCATCGAGTGCCTCCTACACTACTCGAGATTGTCGCATCAAATCAGTCTGGCAGTGAATGCTAAATGGCTGCTACGTGGACGCCCAATTCGCAATGGCATGCTCAGCAAATTAAATAAACAGCTATTTGGCATGCAGATAGCAAAATGTGCAATTACATTACATGAATGTTTACAGTAACAGCGCAGACATACCAAACGCAACTGGCAGCCGACATTTGCAGTCAGCGGACGTCGCATTTCCATAACACATCATTTCAAGCAGACAACGCGACGCGCAGCACAATTTATCATATATGTTGACATGCCAACTGTCAGTGCTTGAGGTGACGATGCCGATGCTGATGCTGATGCTGATGCCGCTGCCGCTGCCGATGCTTGACAGACAGTCAGTTATTCAGGCTAGCAGAATGAACAGCATCAGCATCAGCATCAGCATCAGCATAGACAGCATCAGAGGCAGTACCAAAATGCTGCAGCATTATGTGGCATTTTGTAATATGGCTTACGGTTTACTTGCCACTTGTCACTTGTCATGCCGCTTTATTTGCCACATTGCAAGTTTTTGGCCGTGTTGCTTCGAATTGCCAGTTCCCAGCTCCCAGCTCCCAGCTCCCAGCTCCCATTTGCCAGCTCCCTGTCCCCTGGCACTTGTAAACTTTTTGTTTTTCCATATACTCTGTACTCTGAAAGTGATACAAGGGCTTTTTGATTGTGGCCGAAGTAAGCTGAAAGTTTGAAAACAATACTGTTTAATTTCCCAGCTATGTATTTGCCTTAGTTAAAGACTTGGTTTTGAGCCACGCCTGGTTCTGATTAGTTTTTACAGTATATTTTATGCCCTTGAGGTATTGTCAGGCACAACTATGTGTAGGGCGCGGGTATAGCCACAAGCAACAGGTAAACAAAGCTTTACAATAATTGAAAACATACAATATTATATAGTTTTCATAACCGTAACCAACCAAAAATAACTAAAGCTAAGTTTAGATAAATATATTTACACCGAATAGCCTGAAGGCCTTGTCGCTCTGGCTTAAAACTTGTTATTTAGAATTAATAAATAAATAAGCATTTACAGTAAATAGTACATAAATGTATATGTATATAGAATTTAAAATAAAGAAAACTTAAATATTTAGCATATTATACGATGATTTATCTAGTTAAAAGAATATTCTTACATATTACCGTTATATATATATGTATGTGAAATAAAATATATAAAAACATAATATATATTTTTGAACTTATTTCTTAATTAATTCAAAAGACTATATTATATATATTTTTTTTTATTTTCTATAAAAATATATCTATATCTATAGCTCTTGAAATTGTGCACTCTCTTCTTTGCATAAGCTGGATAAGCTTAACTGTTTCGCCTAGAAACAACCAAATGAAAATTTTATGTAAACAAAATATTAAATAAGAAAAATTTGTTTGAGGGTGTTGGGGTTTCGCTTGTTTGGTTAATGCCGACTCGAGTAAAAAATGTTTGCAAAAATGTTTACATATTATAAAGCTGTATAGGTAGAGCTCAATAGAAGCAATTATGTATGTAAAAGCATTTTCAATCCCTAGACGTTGCCTTATGCACAGAGTATTAAGTAGTCAGTAACACTCGACAAGAGGATTTGAGTTGTTTTGGCTTTGTTGCTGTTCATCAACTGGCAGCCGAACACAATAGGACAGGCAGGCAGAGTGAAAGGCGTAAAGAAAGAGCAGAAGAAGAAGGAGAAGGAGAAGGAGAAGATGTTGCAGTAGGCGAGGCTGACGCTCAAGACGACACTTAATTATGTTTTGTCAGTGCAGCGGCGCAGAGGACGAAGTTTTGCCAAGTGCAAGAAAAATTGCTGGAAAATGTCAAAATGATTTCCGCCCGTTGTTCAAAGCCGGGCATCATAAATTATTGAAATTGCCAGTCTGTCATAGCCATAGTTGCCTGTTTCTGTTTCACTCCATTGTATTTTAGTTTCTGCAATTCTTTGGCTTTATTTCGCTTTTATTTGTGGTATTCTCTCGCTTTTCTGTTTTGTTTTATTTCGTTCTTTTCATATTATTCTTTTTTTTTCTATTTCATTTGGCAGCAGGTGCAACGCAACGACCCCGTCTTTAACAGAACTAAGCAGCGCAGTCAAAGCTAGCAAAACTTTTCCACTTACTTTTCCCGGGCGCTGAGCAGAGTGAAAAAAAAAAAACGAGATGAAACGAAAAAAAGAAAAAGGAAAAACATTTTCTATTTTTCGCTTTATTTTCGCTCTGCTGTGCGGTCGGAGCTAAACTATTTGCCAGTGTATTGTGCAGCTTTGTGTGTAGCGGCACGAGTCGGGGTCTGGTTGGGGGTCATGGCTGCTATAAAATTTATTTTGTTTTCGCATAACTTGCAAGTGTTTTTATTTCACCTGTACTGCGTTGTGTCTTTCTCTCTTTATCTCTCTATCTCCCTCTCCCTCGCTCTCCCTATGTGTGCCCGCCACTCAATAAATAACTATGCGAAAATAAACCCCAACTCAACTGCAAAAACTTAGGTATTGTGTTTTCAATGGCTTCTACTGATGCTGGCAGCAGGTCGCGTTTACATGACAATTTGACAGCTCCCCTTTCTGATGAGCTTTGCAAAAGTTGCCAGCCAAAGTAAGTAAACAACATCGTATGAAATTTTAAGCACAACAGATAGTTTTCCGATAATACTAAATGAAAATATTTCAGTTTGCCACACCCACACACAATCGGCCT